ACTGACAGAAGGAACGGGCAAATGAATGAATAAATGAATGGTTGTTCATACATTGCCTATGTATGACGCTCGTGTTCGGCATCAATCATCATCAGCGATCAAAATTTAAATGCATTGTCCGCAATGCTGTTTATTTTGTTTTAAGAATAAATGTTGCTGCAGCTGCTGTGGCGACTGCTGTGGCGACTGCTGTGGCAACTGCTGTGGCTGCTGTCGTTATTATTATTGTCGTTGTCGTTGATGTTGTGCTAGAGACGGACCTAATTGACTTGCATTGTCAGCAGTGGTCGAGATCAACAATGAAGATGAGATGTTGTTTTCCAAATAAATTTCATTTGTATGTGTGTGTGTTTGTGTGTGTGTGTGCGTGTGTTTGTGTGTGTGTGTGTGTGTGTGTGTGTGTGTGTGTGTGTGTGTGTGTGTGGTAGTTGTCAAATTTTTTCATCACAAGCTTGTTTATACTTGAAAATTTAAAAAAATCTTTTGTTCACTAAGTGTGCATTTGTTTGTTTTCTGTTTATCATCATTCATTCATTCATTCATTCATTCATTCATTCATTCATTCATTCATTCATTCATTCACTAAGTCGTTCGGTACGAAGCGAAACAAAGTGGCACAAACATTGTAATAACTCTTCTTCATAAATTTTTATTTTTTTTCAACGCCTTCGCCAAAGAATTATTTCAAAATTTGTAACAAGGGGAAAAAATTTAAAAGTGAAAGCGATAATAAATATAACTCTTCAACAACAACAACATCAACAACAACAACATCAACAACAGCAACATCAACAACAACAACATCAACAACAGCAACATCAACAACAACAACATCAACAACAGCAACATCATCAACAACAACAACAACATCAGTTATGACGTATGTTCTCATTTCCTACATAACAATTACTTTTCCTCAACATTATGTAAGCCCATTATTTATCATGTAACTTATTTGTTAATGAAAATAATAATAATAATAATAATAATAATAATGACTTTATTATTATAATTACTATCGCTAGCAGTAGTTGTAATAGTAGTAGTAGCAGCCGAAGAAGTAGTAGTAGTAGCAGCAGTAGTAGTAGTTTTATTTTTCAGTTTTTCATTGCAGTTGTTGTTTTCATAATATTAACAATATTTTATTATCGTTTATTCTTCTTCTTCTTCTTTTTCTTCTTCTTCTCCTTCTTCTTCTTTTTATTATTATTATTGTTGTAGTTGTTGATGATGTTGTTGTTGTTGTTGGTGTTGTTGTTGTTGTTGGTCAATGTTATTTTTAACGTTGTTGTTGAGGTGTATGGCCAGCCAAGCGAATAGTTTGACAGGAAGGCGAAGATGGGAAATAAAGTTAATTTAAGTAGCATTTGATCGATGTTCTAAACTTCTTGTATCATCTTTGTATTTCCTTTGTATCAACTTGTCTTGTATAATTTTGTAAGGTTTTGTTTTGTATTTTTTAACAACAAAAACATCAACAACAACAACAACAACATTAACAACAACAAAAACATCAACAACAACAACATTAACAACAACAACATCAACAACAACAACAACATCAAATAATAATAATAGTTGTAAGGATGGTATCTTTCTTCCAATATATTGCAATTAGATACGGTCTAAAACAACAACAACAACAATATAATAATTATAATAATAATAACAACAACACTAATAATAATAATAATTTATTTAAAACTTCGGCAAACACAATCTCCAGAGAAAAGACCATTAAAATTAATGCCGATGTTAATAATAATAATAAGAATGAATAATAATAATAATAATAATAATAATAATGAATAATAATAATAATAATAATGAAATAAGCTAATTATAATAATAATAATAAGACATTAAAATATATAATCAGAAAAATAATTATGCCTTAAATAATAATAATAATAATAATAATAATAATAATAAGATAATATATGGGGTTGTGTCATTCAAATGTTAATTGTGGCTTTGTTATAAAAATAATTATTGCTATCTCTAATATTATTATTATTAATATTATTGACAATATTATTATTGTTGTTATTATTATTTCGTTGTTTTTCTTGTTGCTTTATTGTCCTACCTCATGAAAATCCTACAGAAATACATTGTTCTAACTGATCAATATTGTTAATATTGTTGTTGTTGTTGTTGCTGTTGTTATTGTTGTTGTTGTTGTTGTTATTGTTGTTGCTGTTGTTGTTGTTATTTTCGTGGCTATTCTTATTACTATTACCATTGCCAATAAAAGCTATTTATAGTTTGTAAATTTTAAGATTTGTTAGTCGGCTAAAAATTGATTTGTCGTTAACGAAGTGATAGTTGTAGTGAAGGTAGTGGCAGCAGCAGCAGCAGCAACAGCAGCAGCAGCAGCAGCAACAGCAGCAGCAGCAGCAGCAGTAGTTGTTGTTTTTTGTATTTTATTTTGCAAGAGGGGGTGTTAGATAAATGTCTAGCATTGTATGAAATGCTCCGTAGACTTGGCGAGTAGCAG